CCCAACCCGCCTCGCTCCAGCCCATGCGGCGGGCGGCGTCTGCGGCCTCGTCCTGCTCGTCGGCGAGCGGGAAGCGCACGTAGATCGACGGGTCGGGCGTGTCCTCCTTGTAGCCCAGCGACACCTCGTGCGAGCTCAGTGACGTTACGCATCGAGGGCAGTGGGGCGTCACCCGATAGCCCAGGTACACCAGCCCCCGGTCCCACAGCTCCTTGATGATCCACCATCCGGTCTGGATGTACCCGTTGTGAAAGGTGACGTAGGGGTCGTCCAGGTCGATCCAGAAGCCCACGCGCTCCGTCAGGTCCTCCCACTCGCCCTTGTAGCGCTGGACGCTCTCCCGGCAGAGGGCGTTGAACCGGTCGATGCCGTACTCCTCGATCTGCCCCTTGGTGGTGAAGCCCAGCTCCTTCTCCACCTCCAGCTCGACCGGCAGGCCGTGGGTGTCCCAACCGCCCTTGCGGAAGGGCCGGTAGCCGCGCATGGTCTTGTAGCGCGGATGACGTCCTTGAACACCCGGGCCAGGACGTGGTGCATGCCCGGGGTGCCGTTTGTGGTGGGCGGTCCCCTCGTACAGCATGAAGAGGGGCTTGCCCTCCCGCTCCGACCACGTGCGGCGAAAGACATCGCGGTCCCGCCACAGTTGGAGCGTGCGGTCCTCCAACTCAGGGAAGCTCACCTTGCTGGATACCGGCTGAAACATGCTCTGCTCCCTGCCGGGTCTGGCCCGGCGCAATAAAAAAGCCCGTCCCTGAGAAGGGACGGGTCTGTGAACCCGCGGTACCACCCTTATTTCACTACCGGCTATTGCGCCGGCGGTGACGCTTTGCAGGACGCCATCACGCCCCTGCCCGAGGTAACGGTGGGCTTCCGGTGCGGCCTAGCAGGCGGGAAAGCCATTCGCCTGTTCGGGGCACGGCTCGGGAGGGATATTCGCTGGGCGCCCACCTGTCCGCTTCCACCGGTCCGGACTCGCTGGCGGCGGCGACACCAGGTACTCGTCTCCGTCACTGCCTTTTAGTCATCGTAGCAGCGTGCCGAAGGGGACGTCAAGAAACCGCGGGGTTGAGGCGGACGCCCACCAGCTCCGCCGTCACCACAACCCGCTCGTCGTACTTGAACCGCGGCCACGAGCTGACGAGGGTGGCGGTGCGGCCATCGGAGTCCCAAAAATAGACGTCTTCCTGGGGCAGGATGCGGAATTCTCGTGGCCTGATACAGAAGCTCCCATCGTCGGTGTCAACTATGACGTAGACTGGCTCGCCGCGACGGAGGAAATCGTGGACCTTGTGCAGGTCTCGAAAGACGGCGCCCTCCCCCTTGAGGGGGCTCTCCAGGTGTCCGAACAGCCAGGTGTTGCCAACCTCACCCGGGTTGGTGTGGTTGGGGATGATGCCGACGTCGAACACCGGCGACTCGAACTTGAGATGGCCGTCATCGGTTGTGAATGTGCCCAGCACAATGGTCTCGGACTGCAGTCCGATGGCGGGGATCCGTACGAGAGTGGCGGGAGAGAGCCCAGACTCCGGCAGGTCCACTTCCGACACCGGAGGTACACAGAGGTAAGTTGCTGGCCGTCCTGCTCCCCGGCCCAGAGGGGGTTCACCCAGTCCTGCGGGGACACACCCAGGCCGCCGTAGACCTCGCTGCCGTAGACCTCGCCGAGCGTGGCGGAGGATGCCGCCGGCCCCGAATCCAGCAGGGGCGCCGTGCTAGCCGGCTGTGACTGCGACGGCGCGTCGGGTGGAGGCACAACCAACTCCTGAAGGTCTTGCTGGGACGGCAGCACGGGCGCTGTGGTAAGGCTCACCACCGGCTCGTAGCGTTCATCGATGTAGGCCTGATAGCCGAAGAATCCGCCGGCAACGGCCAAGAGTATCGCGCCGCCGCCCAACAGGATGATCGCAAGACGCCTATTGTCCCGCATTCCAACGGCGCCCCGCCCCTCATGCGTTGCCAATGATGTCACCCCAAGGAGAATTCAAGCCTGTGCAATGAGCATACCACGCCCAGGGGATGCCGCATCAAGCTGGATGCCGTGGGAATCTGTCAGCAGGCGGGGGTGCGCCCGGTCTAATGCCGGGCGCAAAGAATTGTCAACGAACTACTATTAGCGGGACCGTGGGACGTAGGTGGAGCCGTTGCTGATTGGCTCATTTAGATAGAGGTCGCCGTTACGGATTTTGATATTGAAGCCACAATTAGGGTTGGTGCAAGCCCAAGCCTTGTAGTAAATGGGGGCCCCTTTGTCCTCCGAAGTCGGACAGAGGGACTAACTCACCCGTGCCACAGCTTCTGCATTGAGGAAGATTCGTCACCACCTAACCCTCCTGAGCCCACGACTCATCCCATATTCGCCAGTCAAAGAGGCGGCTGAGCGGCAGGGAGGGGCCTGTTGGGCAACTTTGAACTACTAATTAGAGTGTATTACAAGTTTCCTAAAACATACAAGTGGGGCGAGTGTTTTCCAATGAAGGACTGCGGGATATATGATACTCGTAAAGGCACACTATAGACAGGGTTCGCTGGCATGATAGTACCATTATACCTGACATACAACGAATACCGTAGGAAGATTCGAAAATAATGATGAAAGTGCCGGATTGAGAAACCCTGGGCAATTGCCCAAAGCCCTATGGCAGAGGCTGTTAGTATTCGGCATATTGAGCCAGATAAAGAACGACGTAATCGTTATTAATGGTGGAGAGCGGCGGCAGGCTGTCGGCGAAAAGGCAGAGGGAGAGGCAAAGCAATTCAACTATACGACGCAGTTAAGGGTTACGGTGTGGACGGTATCGTAAAGGGGGCCGGATGGCGTGAGGGTGCTCCTGATGAGATGAAACGCCTCCACAGGGAACGATTCCGCAGGTGGGAGGCCAATGTCTGCCAGAAGGGTTCCTGCGCGTTGGCGATCGTCGGCGGAGGCGCGGTCGCGTAGACGGGCAAGGGTGAGGTGCGGGCTGAACGGCCTCTGTTCTCGCGGGAAGCCCATGTTGGCGCATGCGTCGTCTACGCGGCGTGCCAGGGCGGCGAGCGCGTCGGTGTCGCCGGACACGCCTGCCCACAGGACGCGCGGGGATCGCCGGTCGGGGAACACGCCGACATCCCGCAGATGGAGCGCGAATGGCACGGAGCCCTTGCCGACGGCGTCCAACGCGTCGGTCAGGGTGGGCACGCGCGAGCTGTCGACGTTGCCGAGGAACTTGAGGGTGAGATGCACGCCGTCGGGATCGACGAGCCTCACGCCGGTCAAGTCGGCGGCGCGCAGGCCTTGAATGAGCCGGGCGATGGCATCCCGGGCCTCTGCGGGCATCGTCACCGCAACAAAGAGGCGTAGTTGTTCAGGCTGCCTTGAGCTGGTCAAGCAACTCCTTCAGGCGCATATACCACTTGGTGAGGTCCTCCAGGCTGAAGCTGGCATTGGCCGGGCTGGGGTTGGGCGTCACGAAGACTGCGGCGTCGCCGATGCGCCACTCCTGCAGGCCCAGCGCCACTCGCCCCCGGTCGCCGTCCGCGTGACGGCGGTACTGTGACGCCGCCATTACCCCGTGGAAGCTCACGATGCGCGGCGCAGTGGCCAGCAGCCGCTCCCGCAGGGTCGACCGCCCCCTCGCGGAAGTCCGCCGCCTTCAGGTCGCCGACGCCCGCCGTGGGCGCTTCACCACGTCCGTCATGCCGATGCCGAACTCCAGCATGCGGTGGTCCGTCTCGGGCCCCAGCGGCTCCGGGGTGAGGCCCGCGGCGTTGAAGGCGCGCCAGAACCGGTTGCGCGGGTTGGCGAAGTAGCGCCCCGTCTGCGCCGAGGGTATCGACGGGTTAGCCCAACAAGAACGATGTCCAGCCCGGGCCGCAGGTGATCGGGCAGCGTCTCCATTGGCGTCAACCGCCAAGCCCGAGCAGTTTGGCCGCGTTGCCGCCGGTGATGAGCGCCTGCTCCTCATCCGAGAGGCCGCTCTCCCGCACCTGCGCGAGCAAGCGGGCGTGCTTGATGAGGGGGAAGTCAGTGCCGAAGAGGACGCGTTCCGCGCCGACGATGCGCGTCACGCTCGCGAATATGTCGGATGTGTAGAGGAACGGCGACGCCGCAGTGTCGAAGTAGACATCGGCCAGGGCGGCCTTGACCTCCGGCATGAGCGCGTAGAAGGGGAGCCCGCCGCCCCAGTGCGCGGCGATGACCGGCTGCCCTGGAAACGACTCGATGAAGCGCAGCAGCCGGTCCGGCGTCACCGTGCCCTTGCCGGGGTAGCTGTGGCCCACGGGCTCCGACGCGTGCGTGAGCACCGGCATGCCCAGCCGCTTCGCCAGCGCCATCAGCGGCCCCATCACGGACGCGTCGTCGATGCGGTAGCCCTGCGTGTCCGGGTGCAACTCTCCGACGCCCACGAGCCTCGCGGCGGCGCATCGCTCTACCTCTGTCAGGGCGTCGTCGCCCCACGCCGGGTTCACCGACCCGAAGGCAAGCAGCCGCCCGTCGCTGCGGGCCGTGCACTCGACCAGGTAATCGTTGGCCTCGCGTGCAACGTCGAGGTCCGTCCACCCGATGCCCACGGCAACGGCAACGTCGACGCCCGCCTCGTCCATGGCGGCCAGCAGGTCGTCGGCGGTGGCGAGAACGGCCCGGGGGTCGGCGTAAAGTGCGCGAAAGGTGGCGTCACGCCGCGCCAACTCCTCCCGCCGCTCGCGGAAGGAGGGGGGATACACGTGCACGTGTGAGTCAATGATCATGAGACAACTCTACAGACGTGGACCGGGAAGGGCAAGCGGGGGTGTCATGCCGCTCCAACCTCTGAGTGCAGATCGGGCCGGGGATTTCCCTACGCCCCGTGGCAGCGCTTGTACTTGACGCCGCTGCCGCAGGGGCACGACTCGTTGCGGCCCACCTTGCGGCCCTGCGTCATTCGCGGAAGCGGCGGTCGTCGGCGCGCTCGACTCGCAGGCCGCGCACGTGCACTCCAGCGGGTGGTCACTGTACCAACTCGTCCGCTCCTTGCCGATGACCATTACGCCGCTCCCTCTGGACTCTGCCGCTCGCCCATCACGCGGATGACTTCCTGCAGGTCCTTGTCGCCCCGTCCGCTGAGGTTCATCACGATGACCTTGTCCGGGCCCGCCTGCGGCGCCAGCTTCGCCACGTGCGCCAACGCGTGCGACGGCTCCAGCGCCGGGATGATGCCCTCCAGCCTCGACAGCAGCGAGAACGCCGCCAGCGCCTCGTCGTCCGTCGCCGAGACGTACGTCGCCCGGCGATGTCCTTGAGGTAGGAGTGCTCCGGCCCCACGCCGGGGTAGTCAAGGCCCGCCGACACGCTGTGGGTCTCCAGCACCTGCCCGCCTCGTCCTGCATCAGGTAGGAGTGCGACCCGTGGAGCACCCCGGGCGTGCCGCCCGACAGCGGCGCAGCGTGCTTGCCCGTCTCCAGCCCGAGCCCGCCGGCCTCGACGCCCACGAGGGCGACCTCCTCGTCGGGCACGAAGGGGTAGAAGAGCCCCATGGCGTTGCTGCCCCCGCCCACGCACGCGACGGCGTAGTCGGGCAGGCGGCCCTCAGCGGCAGCGCCTGCTCCCGCGCCTCGCGCCCCACGATGGCCTGGAAGTCGCGCACCATCATCGGGTACGGGTGCGGCCCCACGACGCTGCCCAGCAGGTAGAAGGTGGTGCGCACGTTGGTCACCCAGTCGCGCATGCACTCGTTGATGGCGTCCTTCAGCGTGCGCGAGCCGCTGTCCACCGGCTGCACCTTTGCGCCCATCAGCTCCATCCGGTAGACGTTCGGCTGCTGCCGCCGCATGTCCTCCGTGCCCATGTAGACCACGCACTCCATGCCCAGCAGGGCGCAGACCGTCGCCGTGGCGACGCCGTGCTGTCCCGCGCCGGTCTCCGCGATGATCCGCTGCTTGCCCATGCGCTTGGCCAGGAGCGCCTGCCCCACCGCGTGGTTGATCTTGTGCGCGCCGGTGTGGGCCAGGTCCTCGCGCTTCAGGTAGACGCGCGCCCCGCCGAAGTGCGCCGTGAGGTTCGCGGCGAAGGTCAGCGGCGTCGGCCTGCCGACATAGTTGGCCAGCAGCCCCGCGAGCTCCGCCTGAAAGCTCGGGTCGTCGCGGGCCTCCTCGTAGCCGACTCGAAGCTCCTCCACCGCGGCCATCAGCGTCTCGGGCACAAAGCGCCCGCCGTAGTCGCCGAACCGGCCCTGCGCGTTGGGCAGCCGCTCTTCATTGTTCATAAGGGGGCTCCTTGTCCGGCCGCTGCCACAAAGCGGCGTATCTTTTCGATGTCCTTGACGCCATCGGTCTCGACGCCGCTGGAGACGTCGACCCCGAACGGCCCTACCGCCTCGATGGCCCCCGCGACGTTCTCCGGCGTCAGCCCGCCCGCGAGGATGAAGCGATAGCCGAGAGCGGCCAGTTCCTTCGCGACTGACCAGTCGAACATCTCGCCCATTCCGCCGGGCTGCACCGACGACTGCCGGTCCAGCAAGGCGATGTGTCCGGCATTGCTGATGGCCTGCAACCGTACTTCCACCGTCTCCACGACGGCGTATTGGTCGTCGGTATCCCCGGATGCGGCCGGGGGCACGTGCACGACCTTGAGGATGGCCGGCTCCACTTGTGCCCAGTACTCCGGCGGCTCGCTGCCGCAGAGTTGCACGAAGTCGAGCCCTACCTGCGCCGCAACCGCGTTGACGTGCTCGACGGGTTGGTCTGCGAAGAGCCCCACCAGCCTCGGCCCTGCTTCCGCTCGCGAAAGGTCGACGCCAGCGCGGCGCCGTCCTCCGGCGGGATGTAGCGGCGCACCGTCGGCAGGAAGTTCAAGCCAACCAGGTCCGCGCCGGCCTCCGCGGCGGCGACCATGTGCTCCACGTCTCGAAGGCCGCAGATCTTCACGAGTGTCATGGCTGCCGCGCTTCCTGCGCGCTTGCTCCTTGCGCGGGCGCCTGCACACCCAGCAGCTCGCGATCTTCGCGCCGGGGTCCGGCTGCGTCACGATGGCCTCGCCCACCAGCGCGGCGTGCGCCCCGAGGTCCCGCAGCCGCTCCATGTCCGCGCGGTCCCGAATGCCGCTCTCGCTCACGAGCACGGCGTCGGCGGGGGCTTTCGACGCCAGGGCCCCGGTCACGGCGAGGTCCGTCTTGAACGTCCGCAGGTCGCGGTTGTTGATGCCGATGACCGCCGCGCCGGCCTCCGCCGCGGTCGCCATCTCGGCCTCGTCGTGCACCTCCACGAGGCATTGCAGGCCGACGTCCCGCGCCGTGTCCAACATCTCCCGCAACTGATGCGGCGCGACAGCACCGCCACGATGAGCAGCGCGGCGTCCGCGCCCGAGGCACGGGCCTCGTAGAGCTGGTAGGGGTGCGTCAGGAAGTCCTTGCGCAGCGCGGGTACGACCGTGGCTGCGACGGCGTCCTTCACCTGCCGCAGGTGCTCCAGCGTCCCCTCGAAGTGGGCGTCCGTCAGGCACGAGATGGCCGCCGCGCCGCTCGCCGCGTAGGTCGACGCCAGCCACGCGGGGTCGAAGTCCGCGCGCAGCAGCCCGCGGACGGCGACGCCTTCTTCACCTCCGCGATGAGGCGGATGTCATCGCCCCGCAGCGCCGACGCAAAGTCGACAGCGGGCGGGGCGCCGGCGATCCGGCGCTCCAGCTCGGCAAGGGGCGTCTCGGACATCGCCCGCTCCAGCGACGCCCGCTTCGCCTCAACGATTTGGTCCAGGATGGTTGCCATTCGTGCCAAGACTCCTCTGCGCTAGGCGCTCTGGCTGACCTCCGCCAGCTTCCTCAGCGTTTCCAGCGCCGCTTTGCTCGAAAGCACCCGACGCGCCGCTGCCACGCCTTCTTTCAGGTCGGGACTGTGCCCGCAACCAGCATGCCCGCGCCCGCGCTCAGCGCGACGGCCCGGTGCAGCGGCCCAAGCTCTCCGCCCAGCACCCGCAGCATGGTCTCCGCGTTCTCCTCCGCGACGCCGCCCCTCAGGTCGTCAAGCGAGCATGGCTCCAGCGCCACGTCCTCGGGGCGAATCTCGTAGGCCGTGACCGCGCCGTCCTTGGCCTCCCACACCTGCGTCGGGCCGGTCAGCGTCAGCTCGTCCGCGCCGTCGGAGCCGTGCACCACCATCGCCCGCGTCGTCCGAGCTGCAGGAACGCCTCCGCCATCCGCTGTCCGAACGACGGGTCCGCGATGCCGACGACCAGCGCGCTCGCGAAGGCGGGGTTGGTCAGCGGCCCGAGGATGTTGAACACCGTGCGAATGCCGAGCTCTCGGCGTGGGCCCGCCGCGTGGCGCATGGCCGGGTGGAAGGCCGGCGCGAACATGAAGCCCATGCCCGCCTCCTCGACGCACCGCGCAACGCCCTCCGGCGTCAGCTCAAGCTTGACGCCACAGGCCTCCAGCACGTCGGCGGCCCGCGGAGCTCGACGCCGCGCGGTTGCCGTGCTTGGCCACCTTCACGCCCGACGCCGCCAGCACCAGCGCGGCGGCGGTGGAGAGGTTGAAGGTGTTGAGGCCGTCGCCGCCGGTGCCCACCACGTCCACAACCGGCCCCGGCACGTTGACGCGCAGCACGTTGGCCCGCATGACGCGCGCCATGCCGCGATCTCGTCCGAGGTCTCGCCCTTCAGCCGCAGCGCCGTCACAAACGCGCCGATCTGCGCCGGCGTCGCCGTGCCCGACATGATCTCCTCCATGCAGGCGGAGGCCTCGTCGGTTGTCAGGGACCTGCCCTCAATCCGCGCGCCTATGGACTCGCGAATCATGTTTCACCTCAATGCGGGCATCGCCCCTGTCTGCTAGCCTAGCCTACATTGCCAGGAAGTTCCTGAGAAGGTCTTTGCCCACGGCGGTCATGATGGACTCCGGGTGGAAAATGCACACCCTCACCGGGAATATGACTCCTTTTCTTCAGCCCCATATGACGCCCCGATCCGTCCAAGCGTCACCTCGAGGCTGTCCGGCAGGTCCTCGGGGAAGACCACCAGCGAGTGTACCGGCATCGCGCGAGGCCGTGCGCACGCGCGGCGGTCGTAGCAGCGAGGCCGGCGCCCAGTGTGGTGGATGGCGAAGTCTTGCCGTGTCGCGTCGATCTCGCCCGCCGCCGCCCGTTGCCGCCGCCGTACACCTCGCCGATGCACTGGTGCCCCAGGCACACGCCCAGCACCGGCGTCGTCGGGCCAGCCGCTCGATCGCCTCCATCGAGATGGGCGGCCTCGCCTCACGTGGCGTGCACGGCTGGGAATGACTGCGGCGAGAACACCACGCTTCTCGGGGCGCGTCATCAGCTGCGTATCTGCGTCCACGGTGATCTGGTCGTTGCGCTCCACGTGGACGTCGGCGCCAAGCTCGCAGAGGTACTGGTACAGGTTGTAGTGAAGCTGTCGTAGTTGTCGATCAGCAGAATCATGACTGTTCCTCCGCCAGGTTGATGGCGGTCAGCAGCGCCCCCGCCTTCTGCAGCGTTTCCTGGAACTCCGCCTCCGGCTCGCTGTCGTAGACGATGCCGCCGCCCGCCTGGATGTAGGCCACGCCGTCCTTCAGCACCATGGTGCGAAGGTGGAGGTGCCGTGTCCATGTGCGGAGAAGCTGAGTACCGCCGACGGCCCGCCGCTGTACTCGCGAGCCTCGGCCCTCCGCTCCGCAGTGATCTCCATGCCCGTGGGCACCGTCGGCGACAGGCGACTACGAGGGCAGCGTGCAACAGACCGCAGTCACGACCGGTCAGCGGGTCGTCGTAGAGGCTGCGGGCCGAGGGCGAACAGTTAGCGCGTGCACCTCGACTCCAGGTGCATGACGTGCGAGTACTTGACCCCGCGCATCAGGTCATGGACCTCCACCGTGCCCGGGATGGCGACGCGGCCCACGTCGTTGCGGCCCAGGTCCACGAGCATGATGTGCTCGGCGCGCTCCTTCTCGTTGGTGCGCAGCTCCTCGGCCAGCGCCTCGTCTCCTCCTGATTGCGGGTCCGGCCGCGTGGCGCGGGTGCCCGCCAGCGGGAAGTTGAGCACCAGCCCGTCCTCGACGCGCACCAGCAGCTCCGGCGACGCCCCGATGATGTGGAAGTCGTCCAGCTCCAGCAGGTACATGTACGGCGACGGGTTCGTGCCCCGCGAGGACCGCATCGCGACGTCGAGGTCGAGGGGCGCGGCGTCCGTGGGCCGCTCCAGCCGCTGCGACGGCACCACCTGGATGATGTCCCCGGCGATGATGTAGTCCCGCGACCGCCGGACGATCTCGTCGTACTCCTCGTAGCTGCGGTTGGAGGTGTAGGTGCGGCGCTCCGGCGTTCGGCGCCGTCCTCTTGGTTGCCGTTGCGCTTGGGCCGCTTGAGCGGGCGGTCCAGCCGCTTCACCAGCCGGTCGATGCGCTTGGTGGCCTTCGCGTACGCGGCGTCGACGTTGTTGCCCCGGATGTGCGCGTGGCTCACCACCTGGATCTTCTGCCGCAGGTGGTCGAAGACCAGCAGCGTGTCGGCCAGCATGAAGGTTGACTCCGGCAGGTCGAGGGGGTTGCTGGCGGGCGGGGGCACCCGCGGCTCGAAGTAGTGGACGGCGTCGTAGGCGAGGAACCCCACGTGCCCGCCGTGAAATCGGGGCAGGCCGGGGATGGACACCACCTTGAACCGCCCCAGCGCCTGCTCAACGAGCCGCAGCGGGTCCACCTCGCCGTCCGGCTGGCCCGGCCCCGTGCGGATCACCTTCGACGGCTCCGTGCCGATGAAGCTGTAGCGCGCCAGCCGCTCTCCGCCCTCGATGCTCTCGAGCAGGAAGGAGTACGGCTTCCGCGCCACCTTCATGTAGGCGGTGACCGGCGTCTCAAGGTCCGCGCTGATCTCCCGGTAGACGGGGATCAGGTTCCCTTCCTTCGCCAGCTCCCTGACCTGTTCCAATGATGGGTAGTACATACTGGTCGTCCCTTCCGACTGGGAAGTCGCGTTTGTGTTGCTTACTTGCTGCGCAGAATCAGCCCCATGCTCTGCTTGATCTCGTCCAACTTTGGCCCGGCGACGGACTGCGCGCGCTCCGCGCCCCGCTCAAGGAGCCGGTCGAGGGCGTCGACATCCTGCATGAGCGCCTCGTACCGCTCGCGGATGGGCGTGAGCGCCTCGACTACGACCTCTGCCACGCGGCTCTTGAGGTCACCGTAGCCGCGGGCATTGGCGAACTCGGCCTCGACCGCCGCCTCATCCATGCCGGTGATCACCTTGTAGATGCCCAGCAGATTGTTGACGCCGGCCCTTTCCGGCTCGTCGGAGAAGCGGATCTCGTTGCCAGTGTCGGTGACGGCGCGCTTGATGGTGCGCTCTATCTCCTTGGGGTCGTCCAGCATGCGAATTGCGTGGCCCCGAATGTGCGCATAGCTCTTCGACATCTTCATCGTGGGGTCGTTGAGGCCCATGACCCGCCCGCCGATCTCGGGTATGACGCCCACCGGCACAACGAAGGTGTCGCCGTAGATGTGGTTGAAGCGCTGGGCGATGTCCCTCGCGAGCTCCACGTGCTGCCGCTGGTCCTCGCCGACGGGCACCTCATGGGCGTCGTAGAGCAGGATGTCGCCCGCCATGAGCACGGGGTAGTCCAGCAGCCCCGTCGACACGCTCTCCTGGTTCTCCGCCTTCGCCTTGAACTGGGTCATGCGCTCCAGCCAGCCGATGGGCGTGACGCAGTTGAGCAGCCAACAGGCCTCGGCGTGCGCCGTCACGTGGCTCTGGACGAAGATGGTGCACTTCTCCGGGTCGAGCCCCGCGGCAAACAGCATCGCCGCCAGCGAGCGCGTCTGGTGGCGCAGCTCGTCAGGCTCCTGCGGGACGGTGAGGGCGTGCAGGTCGACGATGCAGAAGTAGTTCTCCTTCTCCTCCTGCCGGTCGACCCACCCCTTGATGGCGCCGATGTAGTTGCCGAGCTGCACGTCGCCGCTGGGCTGAATGCCGCTGAACACCCGCCGCTTGCCCTCGATGCGGCTTCGGGGCGTTGTATCCCGTATGCTCTCCTGCATTGTCATCTTCGACCCCCGCTATTCTCTCGACCCTGGTTTGCGAAACCCAATAAAAAAACCCCGCTCCCATCAAGGGGCGGGGTCACTCCGCGGTGCCACCCTTGTTTCCGCGCTCCCGAGCAACGGGAGGGCGGACTCTCGAAAACGGCGCGCCTCCCGAGGGATGACGGCTTACCCGCTAGGCGTTTGATCGGCGCCCACCCGACGGAAGCGTTTGCGGGGCTCTTGCCCTGCAAGCCGGCCCATTCGTCCCCTGCGCCAGCGCCGGTTTCCACCTTACCCGGCTCTCTGTGGCCTCGCTGGGGGAGTACTCTTCCTGCCCGCCGCCTCTATAGCGATGTTGCAATAGTCTAGGGGCGCAGAATCGCCTGTCAAGGCACTAGCCCCACCACGCGCCTCACGCCTCGCTCGCCCGGCGACAGCGCCTCGGTGCCCCCGCTGCGAACGATTTGGGCGTCCAGAGGGCATGGTTCGCGCCATGTTGGCCCTGCATGGGCGGTATCCTCAACGGAAAACGTCGCCTCCGTGCTATACTAGCGTCTCGACAACGACCTGCGTGTCGACAACGACCTTCGTGGAGTGAAGATACGTGCCCACGGTGTTGATGGTGAGCAGGGACGGCAGGGCCGCGGAGACGCTGATGCTGGCATTTCCTCGCGGCGAGTTCAGCACGTCCGCGACCCCTGACCCCGGCTGCCTCGACGCCCTCCCCATGGAGCAGACCCCGGACGTCGTGCTGCTGGACGCCGTCGGCTTCACCCGCACCGAGGCCGATGAGGCCGTCCAGCTCTGCCGCCGTCTCCGCCTCCCCGTCATGGCGCTGGTCACGGAGCGCGAGCTGGAGGACTACGACGTCGCCCACGGCGCCGACGATTTCGCGCTGAAGCCGCCGAACCCCACGGAGCTCGCCCTTCGCGTCACCCAGCTCCTCCGCCGCCTTCGCGGCCGCGAAGGCTCCGAGACCATCCACAGCGGTGACCTCGTCATCGACCAGACGCGCTATGAGGTCACCGTCTCCGGCCACCGCGTCCTGCTCACCTTCAAGGAGTACGAGCTGCTCCGGCTGCTGGCCCAGAACCCCGGCCGCGTCTTCTCTCGAGAGGAGTTGCTCTCACGCGTCTGGGGCTACGAGTACTTCGGCGGCACCCGCACCGTGGACGTCCACGTGCGGCGGCTTCGGAGCAAGGTGCAAGACGCAAACCACACCTTCATCGAGACCGTCTGGAACGTCGGCTACCGCTTCAAGCCTGTCGCCTAGGCTGCGTGAATCCCCGCCCTCCGGTGGCGCCCCATACGCGGGATGCGTATACTCGCCGTAACTCAACGAGCGGGGCGACATGGCCAACGAGATTCGCGACCTCCCTCTCTTCCCCCTGGGCACCGTGCTCTTCCCGGGCATGCAGTTGCCGCTGCAGCTCTTCGAGCCCCGCTACCTCCAGATGTTTCAGGACATCGCACGCCAGGACTCGCGCTTCGGCGTCGTGCTGATCAAGGAGGGCGTGGAGGTGGGCGAGCCCGCCGTCCCCTTCGACATCGGCACCATCGCGCGAGTCACCCCAGCATGAGAACAACCCGGACGGCCGCATCATCCTGATGTCCGTCGGCCAGCAGCGCTTCCGGTCGCTGGAGGTGCTGCAGCAGCGCCCCTACATGACCGCCCGCGTCGAGATCCTGCCGCCGGACCCCGCCGGTTCCACCGAGGTCGGCCCCAAGGTCAAGGAGATGTTCCTCGAATACGCGCGCCTGGTGGCCGGCATGGCCAACGAGTGGGTGCGCGATGTTCCTTTCCCCGACGCCCCGTCCGACCTTGCCTATCTGGTGGCCCGCAACCTCGACGTCAACATGTCCGTGAAGCAGGGCCTCCTCGAGATGGACACGGCCGAAGAGTGCCTAGCGCGCCGAGGTGGAGATCCTGGAGATGATCACGGAACACCTCCGCAGCCGCGTCCGCCGAGAGGGCCCCTCCCAGCACTTCAGCGCCAACTAGCTCGCCCCCAACCCCGTCGTAGGGGCGATTCGCGAATCGCCCGTCTCCCTCTGCGGAACCCTGTTTGCTCTCACTGCGTCTCACAAGCAGAACGTGGTTTGATTAATCACTTTGAGTCAGTCAATATGAGCTAAACCCTGAACCTCTAAGCATCGCGGAGGGAAGGACCACCACCCCATGCCCAGCAGCTTCCACCAACGTTGCCAGCTCGCGCTCACCCACCCCGTCACCCTCGGCGCGGTGGCGCTGCTGCTGGTCAACGACTGGCTCCTCAAGCCCCTCTGGCAGTCCGACTGGACCACCGGCAAGCTCAGCGACCTCGCGTGGATGGTCTTCGCCCCGCCCCTGCTCGCCTTCGTGCTCTCGCTGATGTCCCGCAACAACGCCAAGGCGACGCGTACGGCGTTCCTCGCCGCCTGCGCGGGCCAGAAGGCGAAAGAGGACCGATGAGGCCACCTGCGACGATCCCAAAGGTGCTTGAAGTTGAAGAGTTGATTGTGCGCTCCGACGACAGCGGCGCATACATGCGTTTGGTCGGGGGCTCTGAAGGAAAGGTTGCAAAGATCGAGTGGTACACCAGTGGCGGACAAGTAGTCGAGCAGATTTGGGGCGGCAGCACGCGAGAATGGCAGATGGAGTGAGTTTTGCATTGAGGCAGAACGAATCGGCCCGTGTCCGCCCTGGGAGCCGTCCCTCGATAAGATCGCCTTTGCCGCGGGGGGTAGGTATACTAAATTTGTGTTGACAGCATACCGAATGGTCATACAATGCTTGCACAAGTTGGAAATCAGGAGGTAGGGTAGCGAGCAGTGTCCTTAGTCTCATTGCTCCACCTATGCACGACCATGTGCCCGACAATGTAAATAGCAGCAGCCTTGGATGGAGAGCACAGTCGCCCTCCATCCAAGGCTGTTAATTTGTGAGGGGATAGGCCATGCCAAGAAAGCTAAAGAAGTCTGTTGACGCGGCAGGTGCGGCCGTCCGAGTCATGAAGGTCCCGACGGGTGAATCGGACGAGAGGCGGGCAACATCCTTTGCAGTGAACGTCAAGTCGCCAGTGCCAAGCGGTCGGTCCCAGGGGAGCATACCCGTGGCGTGAAGGCACATGCCACATAAGGGACTACAGCACACCGCAAAGGAGACAATCATGGAAGAAGGACGTACCACACAACGCCTGGAATGGCGCTACGAGAATGCCAGCCCCTCAAACGCTCAACCCGCCCTGCGGGTGGTTCTGCATTACCAGTTTACCCGCGAGGGCAACAAGTGGGTCGGCACCTGCTTGGAACTCAGCACCAGCACCTATGCCCGAAGCAAGCGTAAGACAGAGGAAGCGTTGTACGAACTGGTCCTAGAGCATCTCAACCTCCTGGAAGAGTCTGGCGAACGCCCCCGGTTCTTCGACGAATGGGGCATCAAACTCGTTATTCCCCCGGTAGAGTCTGACCCGACGGCAGCTCGACCTGAAGCGGATAGGACGCACCAGACAGTGCTAGGCTTTGAACTTGAAATGGTCGGCATCGGTTCCTAGGGGATGGTCGCCATCAGAGGCAAAGCCCTCATCAAGCTTCTGCTTGCCGAAGAATATGTGAGAAAACGAACATCGCGACACGGGGAGTGGCTGGAGAAGCACGAGGACGGGCGCACTCGCCACACCATAGTGAAAGACAACAACGAGGTGATCAAGCAGGGCACACTGAACAATATCCTTGGCCCCCAACAAACGGGGTTGGGGATGAGGTGGCTGCGGGAGAAGCTAGGGCAGAAGTAGCACCCTGACGGCCCTCGCCCTCTACAAGCGCCTCGTCCGGCAGGCCGCAGCGGAGACTCCAGCCTAGTCGTAGGGGCCATTCGCGAATGGCCCGTTCCGCCGAGAGGCGGAAACACCCTGACACGGCCCCATTGCCCCCACACCACCCCGTCCGCTACCGTCACCCCATGGCAAACGCATCCACGCACATCAGTCAGGCAACCGGCTCCGCCCTGTGCACCAACGTTTTCGTTGCGGGAGCTCGCCTTGACCCGGCCGCCTGCGGTCCTGCAGGCGAAAACCGGAGGTTGTTGCAGCTGGGCGAAAAAATTCTTGGATTTCAAGCTGGAACATGCCACGACAGCTATAAATCCATTGCAAAAACAACCTCCCGCAGCTACGGCAGCCACGGCAGCCCAGGAAACAGTGAGACCGTTGGGCCCGCCGCGACAACGAGGTACGTCGTCCCCTACCGCGGGTCTATCGGCGTCAGCCGCACGCCGAGGGTGCGCTCGCACCAGGCGGCGGCGTTGAGGAGGCGCTCCTCCTGGAACGGCCCCGCCGCAAGCTGCACGCCCAGCGGCATGCCGTTCTCGGCGAGGCCCGTGGGGATGTTGATGGCCGGGCAGCCCAGCCACGTCCACGGCGCCTGGAAGTACGTCGGGCCCGTCGTCGAGCGGTCGCTGGGCGCCGGGCCGGGTGTGCCCGGGCTCAGCAGCACGTCGTAGGCCGCGTACACGTCCGACATGGCGACCCGCAGCTCGCGCCGCGCGTTCTGCGCCACGATGTAGTCGAGCGGCGACCGCACCATCGCCTCCTCGATGCGGCGGCGGATGTTGGGGCCGTAGTCCTCGGGGTTCTGGGCGAACCACTCCCGGTGGAAGACCGACGCCTCCGTCCACACCACCGCGCCGATGTGCTCCGGGCTCTGGTCGAACAGCTCCGGCAGCCCCACCTCCTCGACGCTAGCGCCCGCCGCGGCGAGCTTCTGCGCCACGTCGTCGGTCTGACGCCGGATCTCCTCGTCGGCCCGCTCGTAGAAGAACTGCCGCACCAGGCCGATGCGGGGCGGCGCGCCCAGGCGTGTTGCCGAGGCGTGGTAGGCCCCCACCATCTGGCAGGCGCCCATCGGGTCCTTGGGGTCGTACCCGGCGATGGCGTCCAGCACGAGCGCCGCGTCCTCCACCGTGCGCACCATGATGCCCACCGTGTCCGTCGACGCGCTGACCGGCACGAGCCCGTGCGCGCTGATGCGCCCAGCGTCGGCTTCAGCCCGACGATGCCGTTGTAGACGGAGGGCCGCAGCGTCGACCCGACGGTCTGCGAGCCGGTCGCGACGGCCACCATGCCCGCAGCCACCGCCGCGCCCGAGCCGCTGCTCGAGCCCCCCGGCGTGTGCTCGCGGTTCCAGGGGTTGTAGGTGATGGAGGGGTCGCCGTCCGCGAACTCCGTCGTGACCGTCTTGCCCAGGATGATGGCGCCCGCCTGCCGGAAGAGGGCAACGCAGTGGGCGTCGTACTCGGGCACGAAGTCGGCCATCAGCGGCGAGCCCGCCTTGGTCGGAATCCCGGCGGTGTAGAAGATGTCCTTCAGGCCGATGGGGACGCCGTGCAGCGGCCCGCGCGGCCCGGAGCGCTCCAGCTCTATCGCCGAGGCCCGAGCGCCGGCGCGCGCCCCGTCCCGGTCGACGGTCACCCACGCTCGCAGCGCGGGGTCCAGGGCGTCGATGCGAGCCAGCAGCGCCTCCACCAGCTCGACGGGCGACAGGCGCCCCTCGCGAATGGCGGCGGCGGCTTGGGCGGCGGACAGTTCGTGCGGCAACGGCTGCGTCGTCATAGCTGGCGCTCCTGATACAAGGTTTGTTGAGTCGGCGTCATGCTATCATGGCGACCAAGAGCTTGCGCGCATCGCGCAGGGGGATGGCAACATGGCCACGATGTCTCAGTCGGAAATGGTGGAGTTCCTGGCGGAGCCGCGCATCGCCCACCTGGTCACGCTGCGGCCCGACGGCTCGCCCCACGTGGCGCCCGTATGGTACGAGTACGTCGACGGCGACTTCCTGATCTGGACGAGCCGCAAGTTCCAGAAGTCCAAGAACCTCGCCGGGGACGCGCGAGCCGCCCTGTCCATCGCCAGCGAGGGCCAGCCCTACCGCTACGTCTCGGTGGAGGGCGACGTGACCGTGAGCGAGTCCGACGCTTGGGACGTGGGCTTCTCCGTGGCCTCGCGATACGAGGGAGTCGAGGGCGCCGCGGCATTCTTGGGGAGATACTACGTGGAAGGCCAGAGCGTTGTCCTGCGACTAACGCCGCGCCGCACCATGACCTGGAACGGTGACGACACGAGCGCCTAACGGGGCCCGTCAAGCCGAAGCGTCGACCGCAATCCCAATCTCGTACGAGGCAGCGCATTGAGTCCAACCGGAGACGCCCCGGAGCCTACACCACGGCGCCGGCGGCGCTCCCGCCGGTTTGGGGCCGTGCGCGCGCTGTCCTTTCCGGACTTCCGCGTCCTGACCGCCTCCGGGATCATCGCGGGGGCCACCTACGCCGGTGAGAACATCGCGCTGGGGTGGGTCGTCCTGGAGGCCACGGACTCGCCCTTCATGGTGGGGCTTGCCATCGGCCTCCGCCACACCCCGCGACTGATCTTCGGCATCCTCATTGGCGCCGTGGCGGACCGCTTCCCGCGAAGGCCGTTGCTGGCCATTTTCGGCGTCGCCCTGACTGTCGTTGCGCTGGCCATAGCCACGCTCTTCTGGCTGGACGCTCTGGAGCTGTGGGCCCTCCTCGCCCTGAACGTGGCCCTGGGCACGGGGTGGAGCGCCGTGCAGGCGCTGCGCCAGAGCATGGCCTACGACATCGTCGGCCCGAGGGACATGGTGAGCGGGCTCGCTATCACCAACCTCGCCCAGCGGATCGGCGCCGTCATCGGCGGCTTGGGGGTAGGGGCCGTCCTGGCGGCGACCAACCCGGCGGCCACCTATGGCGTCATCGCGGTTGCCCATGTCGTAACGGTCGTCGCGGCCCTCTTCATTGCGGCGGAGGGGCGATCGGCGCAGATCGCCAAAGAGTCCGTGCTGCGGAACGTCCTGGACTTCCTGCCGTCACTGGGGCGCAACGGGTCTCTGGCCCTGCTGGTCCTGCTGACCGCCGCCGCCGAGATTCTGGGTTTCTCCGTGTTGTCCCTCTTGCCGAGCATCGCCCGCGACGTGCTCGGCTGGGCGCCGACGGGTTCGGCCTGATTCAGTCCGTGGGAGCGATGGGCGGGGGCGCTGTACGGTGCTGACGGGCGCTGTGGCAGCGTCGTCCGGCGCCGATGCTGTTTTCCCTGTCCTTCCTGACGGGTGTGTCGGCGCCGGCGGCCTGGTGTTGCTGAGCCAGTCGGATACCCTGGCGATGGTGCTGGCAGTGATGCTCGTGGTGAACGCCGCCATGGCCGTAGCCGACGTTTTTTCCCAGGGTCTGATGCAGGCGGTGGTGCCCAACGAGGCGCGGGGAAGGGCCGCCGGGGCGTGGCAGATGGCCATCGGCTTTGCCCCATCGGCAACGTTTACGCGGGCGTCGCCGCCTCCGCGGGCGTCTCCGTGGCGCTGGTGGCCAACGGCGGAGCGCTCTTCGGCTTGGCGCTGCTGGCGCTCCTCATAGCCCCCCGCCTCCGCAGGCTCTAACCCGCTCGCGCGACGCGCCTAGAATCGGCTGCAGCCCCATCGTGTCATCGGCTTGTCCCCCTGACACCAGGGCTGCGGGTGGGGCTGCGGTTTCCGCCGCCTTCTTGTTAGCCTCACTGTGGAGGATATGCATCCTTCGGCCAATCAGATGTACGCAACTGGTGCAACCCTCGCAAACAGGAATGCGGCCTGGAGCCCAATACCGACCAAGACAAGGACACTTCTCATCAGCAATGGCGTTGACCGCCCGGCACGGAACGCGGCGACAACGCCAACCGCGGAGACGACGATTATCGCCAATATCAGAAAGAGGGTGAACGGGTTGAACTCGGAACTGATTGCCCGTGATAGGGCTAGCATTAACCAGGTAACCAGCAGCAGCCAGAACCCCAGGACTCCAAGGGCCAAGTTTGCCCCAACGCCGGGCCGGGCAATAACCACCCCGCCTGCCAGCAGTATGGGAACTACATGGAGGAAGGGCAGGATCGGATTGCTGGCGAAAAACTCAAGGGTCACTAGAGATAGAGCGACCCCAGCGAGGCACACCAACATAACCAAGGTGCGACCGCCCCCGTGGAAACTCCGGAGTTGTTGGTCCTATTGCCCGTCCGGACGCGGCTTGCATCGTCTTGTTTGGCGCTTCCCCTCGGCGATTGACCGCCACGCGGGACGGCATGGCAATGCTAAGCCGTAAGGGAGCAGACGCGGGGGCGCGCGCGCCTCGCTAGCTGCCGATCCGGTCCTGGGGCGACAGGTGCGGCACCGTGACCCCCGTCTCCACGAAGGTGCGGGTCACGTCTTTGGCGCCGTAGACCCACAGGATCTTCATGACGCCACTGCCGGTGTTGCGGTAGCAGTGGTGCACGCCCGTGGGGGCGTAGCCCGCGTCCTGCGCCTTCAGCGGGGTCACCACCCCGTCGATCTCGCATTCGCCCTCACCCTCCAGCACCACCACCATCTCCTCGCAGTTGTGGTAGTGCATCGGGATGGCCACGCCGGGCTGGAAGACGCTGACTCCGGTGGTGATGGTCTCGGAGGGACACGCCACGCCGCACATGGGGTGGCTGATCACGCCCTCGCCGCGGCCAACCGGGGTCATCTGGTCCCATTTTGAACACCGCTGGGTCCGCCATCCTTCACCTCCGACGGACGCTCCGGTAGCCGGTCGTCCTTTGGCGCGAGTATAGCCGGACGGCTTCCAGAGGCCAAGCCGATTGTGGTATTTTTCACCCTTGTATGCTATCCTCGGCCCGAAGGATGGGGTATGCTGGACGACTACTACCGCCAGTACGGATTGGTGCTCCTGCTGATGGGGGCTGCGTTCGCGGTGCCCCTCAGTATGTTCCTCTTGTCCCGCGCCGCGCAGGTCCTCCGCATTCGCCCCAACAAGCCCAGTGACGTCAAGTCAGACATCTACGAGTGCGGCATGGAGACCATCGGCGGGCGGTGGGTGCAGTTCAACTTCCGCTACTACCTCTTCGCCCTGCTCTTCCTCATCTTCGACGTCACCGCCATCTTCATCTACCCGTGGGCCATCACCCTGCGTGAGCTGGGCGGCGGCGCGCTGCTGGTGATGTTCGCCTTCCTGGGGATCCTGGGCGTCGGCTGGGCCTACGCGTGGCGGAAGGGGGGCGTTCGAATGGAGATAAACATCGGCGGCGGCCCACTGCGCGACTCGACCTGGGCGATGGACCGGGTCGAGGGCGACGCCATCTCCGCCATGAAGGCCTCCCACACGTCGCCGTACCCCGAGCCCCTCATCGACGTGCCGGACGAGCTGCAGCGCAACGTCCTCGTCACCGCCCTCGACGAGCTCATCAACTGGGGCCGCAGGTCGACCGTGTGGCCGCTGAGCTTCGGCCTCGCGTGCTGCGCCTTCGAGATGATGGCCAGCGCCATGTCGCGCTGGGACATCGCCCGCTTCGGCATGGAGGTCTTCCGCGCGACGCCCCGGCAGGCCGACCTGATGATCGTCGCCGGCACCGTGACGTGGAAGATGGCGCCCGCCATCGAGCGCATCTACGAGCAGATGGCTGAGCCCAAGTGGGTCATTTCCATGGGGGCCTGCGCCACCAGCGGCGGCCCCTACTACGAGTCCTACAGCGTGACGCCCGGCGTCAACCGGGTTATCCCGGTGGACGTGTACGTGCCCGGATGCCCGCCCCGTCCCGACGCTCTCCTGTACGGGGTGATGCAGTTGCATGACAAGATCCGGCAGTACAGCATGGCGCACCACCCAGCCGGTCCTGATGACCAGGGCGCTGTTGGGCTCGGACGTGGTGGAGCGCCTGCAGGGCGTGGCCGGGCGGCGTGACGCTCGACGGGGGACGAGATCCGCGTGGAGCCCGAGTCGCTGGTGGCGGTCTGCCGCTACTTGAAGGAGACGCCGGACCTCGCCATGGACTACCTCTCCTCCATCACCGGCGTCGACTACCTGGACTCCTTCGAGGTGGTCTATCACCTCACCTCGCTGACGCACAATCACAGCCTGGTCCTCAAGACCACCCTGCACGGCCGAGACGACGTCGAAGCCCCGTCGCTGACGGGGGTGTGGCAGGCGGCCGACCTGCAGGAGCGCGAGGTCTGGGACCTGATGGGGGTCCGCTTCAGCGGCCACCCCAACCTGAAGCGCGTCCTCACCTGGGAGGGCTCCCCCGGGCACCCGCTGCGGAAGGACCACCTCGGCGGCTGATACAGTGAACACACGGAGGCGCCGGTGACGCTGCCCTCAGAGCAGATAACCATAAACCTCGGCCCCCAGCACCCGAGCACCCACGGCGTCTTTCGCCTGCGGGTGACGCTGGACGGCGAGGTCATAACGGACGTCGAGCCCATCTTCGGCTACCTGCACCGGGGCACGGAGAAGCTGGCCGAGGAGCGGACGTACACGCAGATCGTCACGCTGACGGACCGGCTCGACTACACCTCCTCCATGATCAACAACCAGGCCTACGTGCTCGCCGTCGAGAAGCTGGCCGGCGTGGACGTGCCGGAGCGCGCCCTGTACCTTCGCGTGCTGACGGCGGAGCTGCAGCGCATCGCGAGCCACCTGATGGGCGTCGGCTTCTTCCTGCAGGACCTGGGGCGCCTCGGGCACACCGCTCATGTACTGCTTCCGCGAGCGCGAGCGCATCCTGGACCTGTTCGAGATGCTGTGCGGCGCGCG